TTTTTTGGCTTTGTGCTGCTTACAATTGAAAATTTTAATGCGCATTCTTTTATTTCGTGCAGCTTTAATGGCTTAACTTGTCCGCAAGCCTGAAAGGGCAAATTCTGTTTAATTTTGCATGAAATTTGAATTTTTGGGATTTTGCTTTAAAGCATATAAACGAGGCTGTCTTCAGAAGATCAAAGCTGCTTAGCCAAACAATAAGATAAAACGTTGTGTTCTCAATCAAATTGCCCATCATATTCAGGCGCTTAGCTAACTGAATATAATTCTAGATTCAATCTAAGCTAAATCTTAAAATTATAAGCTCATTTTTGATATATTTTTAAAAATATAAATGAATTCTTTTATACATTTTTACATAATCTTTAAGAGCCCCTTGTAAGCTCTTAAATGCTAAAAGCGAATTTTTAATGTCTCAAAGGATATTCAGAGTCGTTTAAAGGTTGAGAGCAGCTTGTGATTGTGAAAAGAAAAACATGCGTACAAAAAGTTTGCAGCAAATTTCATTTTTGCTTGAGGACAATGGCAAAAAAAGTTGTGTAATTTGATATGTTCTTGCACGACCATGCATAGCAAATGTGTGCGTGGGTGTGCGTGGGTGTGCGTGGGTGTGTGGGTATGCGTGTGCTGGCATTGTTTTCGTAGGCTCGCACTGAAAGTGTTGGCATTGCCATTAAGCCTAACAAGGCTGTCCGAAAAAAACAAGACTCAACATTAAGAACAAGGCGCAACACGGCTAAGAAAACTAAAATCCAGGGCCAGCATGAGAGCGAACTAAGTAGCTGATTGTTTGCCCAACTAATGGCCAACAGCGTAGCAAGGCCGGCGGAACCAAACGCAAATTGGCGATGGGGCAAAAGGCACTTGCAACAAATTGACAAAAACGAAAGTTTGTGTACTTAATTTCTGTGCAAGTTTTGTTAAAAAGCATTGAAATAACTTATTAATTGGCAAGTTGCCTGGACGAAAATCTAATTAAATTCGAGCAGCAACGACTGCTCGCCAGAGCCAGAGGAGAGTCAGCAGATCGAAATGGCAAACAGTTAAAAGCAAGACAAAAGACCAAACACAACGGCAATGGCCATGGCAGAAGGTCAGGAAGGAAAACAAAATAAATTTACTTGTTGTTTTTGCTGTTGTTGTTGTTGTTGCTTTTGTTGTTGTTACTATTGTTGTACGTGTGCTGGACAGGTCGCCGCTGTTTACTCTATGGCGTGGGCGAGGAAAAGGGGACGGGCGCTGTATGCCTTGCTGTGTGGCTTGTGGGCTTGTTTGTTTATCTGCATGTGCAACAACAACAACACCAACATGACAACAACAACAACATGTCAACAAGCCACACACAAAAAAAGCGCAGCTCGACATTTGCCATGCGCATAATTGCGGTTGAACATTTTGGTTTGGCGCATGTTAATTGCAGCTTATGGTGGGTAGCCAAGCCACCTGCCCCACCTGTGGTGCCTTCGCATTGTATTGACATTTGTGCCTAAACGTTTTTGCCACAACAAATTCAAACCGTGTCACCGACACGTTTTTTGTCCAGTTTTTTGTAGACATTTTTTTTGGTTTTATTTGAGCTTTAGCTTTTTTGACCCTCTCGCGCCTAATTTCATTAGCCAAACAAATTTTGCAGTTTACTTTTTTACGTGCTCCAGGTGTGTGTGCTCGGTGTGTGTGTGTGTGCACTACTGAGCAGTTGGCAATTGTGTTGTTGCCCCTCAGCCAGCTACATGAATATTATTAATTAAAATCGTGCAATGCATGAAAAGGTTTGTTTGCTTCCCAACTGAAGCATTGGATTGGCCCGGTTAGTCATTGGCTAACTTCAAGTCTGTGTGTAGGGTGTGTGTGCCTAGAGTGTGTGTGTATTTGTGTTTGTGTTTGCTTTAGACAATGTTTGCCTTTTATTAGAAACGTGTACCTGGCCCCAGTTCTATGAGCTCTATGAGTGTGTGTTTGTGTGAGTGTGTGCAAATGCCAGGCAATAGCTGAATTCTTTTCTCGAGCTTTAATTTATTATAAAAGTATGTGTGTATGTGTATTGGGCAGATAGAGAAAATAGAGGCATATTGTTTTTTATAGGATAATTTAGTTTATTTTTGTTTCAGTGGAGTTGAGAAATTATAAACGAGGGACTACTATATAGTATAAACGATAGATATTTATCTAGAGTAATATAAAAATTGGCTTAAGTCGAAATTTTTTTAGAACGAGACTTTAAAATATTATAATTTTGTCCATCTCTCTCTTTGACTGGCTCTCTCTGACTGTTTCTCTCTATTTCACTCTGCCTGTTTCTCTCTCTCTCCCTCTGTATCTATCACTATTTGTATATTTCTCTCTCTCTCTCTCTGTATATCTCTCCCCACTCACCTATCCCGTCTTCTATCCTATCCCCTTATCTCTCTCTCTCGCTTTTTCTGCTCTGGCATGCTCCTGACATTGCCAAACATCCTTTCCCTTCCTAAATCCATAACAGAGACACACACATTTTATCATATAGTGCTCAATCGAATACAAACAATTTCTATATAATTATGAAGTCTCTGGTTGGTAGTGCACTCGTTAGTCGCACATACTTCTTGAACCTCATACCTACATGAACTCTTATTTGTAATTTCTGTTACTTTTTTCATGTTGCCTTTTTGCGCTTCACACGCTTTGGCTCAATTGAGTTTCGACCTGAGCAGGTTGGCAGCCTTTGCTGTTTTTTCTGTCTGCTTTATTTTTGAATTATTTTTTGGTTTTTTTCTGCGCTGCTCTTTGGGAAATTAATTGGATTGCGAGCTTTAATTGCCTGGCAGGGAGTTTGGGCAAAGGCTGACAAATTATTTATGGGATTGTGTGCAGGACTAACATATTTATAAGAGCTGTGCGAGAGGCAGAGAGTGTGTGTGTACAGGCGCTTTAAGTTTCTGGTTAGCTGCAAAACTGAATAAAATTGAGTGCTGTGTGCGCAAAGATGTGTCAACAAATAAATGCCTGGAGTTGAACCTCTGGAGAGTAAATATTAAATATGCACAAGGCTCGCATAATAATTATGTGGCATTCATGTCGTCGTCTTATCAGGACGTTCCTTTTTAGGTTTTTTACTTTACTTTTTATTATTTTCTCCCTTTTATGGCTGACAGCACTTTTTCGGGTTCTTGCACAGAGTGCGGGCAGCAATGCTTATTTATTCTCATAATGCCTTTTGCCCTCTTTTTTTGTGAATAAACATTATGCGAGTGTAGGCACCTTTCGGAGGCTTTACATTTTTTATGCCCTCTCCTTGCCAAGCCCGTTCATTCAGCCATGCCAATTCATATTCAAATGATAAGTAAAACGCTTTAAAGAACATGTTGTATTATGCGAATGTTAAACATTTGCGGCACTTACTGGATTTGTAAGCTAATTGCCACTCGTAAAGGCGAACAATAACAAGCGTGTTATAAATTAGATATTTAAATGCGACAATCCGTCGCTCAAGTGTGGCCCAAACACACACACAAGCAGACAGACAGACCGAGGAAGGCTGGATTTGAGCCAGCCTTCGACTTGTTCGCTCTGCTGCCAGATTAACGAGCAGCCAGAACTTTTCTGTCACTTCGTCTGCCACTGGCTCTGCCTCTGCTTCGCTGTGGCCGCAATTTGTTTTGGCGGAAGGACACTTTGTAATTTCATTTTTGGCTGTCCTTGCCTGACCCGCTCACATCCTTGGCATTGAATTGAAAGTTGGGTTACAATGCTCTTGCTCTTCCTAGCTCTGTCTATTATTTCTATCTTCTTTTTCTGTGCTTTAGTGGGTGTAGAGCAAACATTCTTAATAGTTGGCCGACGCCTATAATTAGCCACTTGCTTTGATACTCAATGACACTTTTAATGGCACTCTAGCCACGTGCCATTTGCCATTTGCCATTTGCCATTTGCCGTATGCCGCTTGTTAGCTGCTACTTGCTGCTCTCTAAAGTATGCAACGTACTCTGCCACCTGTCGCCACTTAATTGAATTGAGAAACTCAACTCGCACGTAATTTGCTTTTGGAAATTTTCATTACGCAGCGGCATGCCCCGACGCCTACGCCCAGCTGCACGGCACGCTGCAGAAGGCTTTTAAAGTAGCTACGGCCAAATATTTGCTTTACGGTTTTAACTTGGAACCCTACCAGACAGAGACACGCACAGAGAGAGTGAGAGAGTGGGAGACAGAGAGAGAGAGAGAGAGAGAGAATCAACTGTACCCAGAACTTTGTTAGCTTGTTTGCTTTCAGCTGTTTTGGCGTTCCGCTTTGTTTGTCCGGGCACAACTTAGTTGCCACAGCCAGCAGTAGCAGCAGCAACAAAAAAATAGATGAAAAATGGAGTGAAAAAATAAAAAAATAAGTGAAAACTTGTTTAATTGCAAACAGCTGGTAAAAGTTTTCGCTCGCAATGCAGTAAACGCTTCAGCTGCCACTAACTTGGCTAACTGCACGCACACACACACACACGCACACACACTTTGTGGTAGTCTGTTTCTGCTGTCACAACATTGGCCTTGCGCCGTGATGTGGCATTTTATTTGGGTTTATGTTTAAGCCCTTCATATAAAGTTGTCTTTTATGGCTACATTTCAAGCGCGCTAGCGGGATGACTGACAAAAACAAAAGTGAAGAGTAGAAGGGCGCGCAAACATTTTACTACACGGCAAAACCTAACTGGCGCTGGCAGCAGCAATTTACGATAAGGTTGCGTATACGTAACCTACCTGCACATTGCGTATACGCAGCGTTGTGTGTGTGGGGATGGGGGTAGGGGAAATGGCACGAGTTGATTGTGTGTCAGAAGGGGACAGTTTGCTTTTGATGTAAAGAGGCACTCGAGGCAATTTTGCGCTCTTATCCCAATCAACGTACAATAATAGAGCGAGCCAAAACCGAAACGCAACGGACACACGCACACACACACAGAGACTTTCCATCTAGCTGCCATACCCACTATTGCGCTACAAGTTTTGTTTTTGCTTAACGTTTTCTCTAGAGCGACCATCAGACACATCAGCAACAGGGCCAACCGCAGCAACAGCAGCAGCAGCAACAGCAACAACAGCAGCAGCAATCCTCGCAGCAACAACAACAACGAGGGGATGGCATATCAGGCGACACGCTGTCCTCATTACCACAAGCATCGTTCAACTATATCAACTCCATCGTTGGCAGCGGCGTCATCGGCATACCCTATGCTCTGCACCGAGCCGGCTTTGGCCTGGGCCTTGCACTGCTCATCCTGGTGGCCTACATAACCGACTATTCGCTCATACTGATGGTGAGTAAATGGCCAGCAAACCTGGCGTTAGAAATGGCAAATCATTCGCCCTAAACGGAAGCGCAGGCGGAAACGGAAATTGAATGCGTGTCTCGTTAACAGCGCGTTGCAAATTAAATGCATTTCCGTTACGAAAAATCATCACAATTTGCATAATTAATGAGCGAGAGAGACAGTGACAGAGACAGAGACAGTCAGAGAGATCTAGGTGATAAGCTCCATTTATCGTTGCAGGTTAGATGCGGTCATATCTGCGGTCGATTCAGTTATCCGGGCATCATGGAGGCTGCCTATGGCAAATACGGCTACTATTTGCTATCGCTGCTACAGTTTATGTATCCTTTTCTGGGTAAGTGCCGCTAATCGCTAAATTACATTCGTGTATGCCAACAATTTTTGGCTACACACACAGCCACACACACATACACAGACGTCACTAACAAAGTTTTGTTATTTTACAGCCATGATATCGTACAATGTTGTCGTTGGCGATACCTTATCTAAAGTTTTGGTACGTTTCTTTCCATCCTGGGGCGATTCGATGGGTGCGGTACGTTTGGGCGTCGTCTTCTTTGTCACCGTCGGCGTTGTGGTGCCACTGTGCCTCTATAAGAATGTCTCCCGTTTGGCGCGCGCCAGTTTTATTAGCCTGGCGTGTGTCGTCTTCATATTGTTTGCCGTCATCATAAAACTTATGTCGGGCGATTATAAAGTGTGAGTATATATTTGAGAATAAGTTATTTATGGGTCTCTAAGTTTTATTACAAACTTGGCTATAGGATTTACCGTTGGCCTTCCAAATATTAAAGTCAAATATCTGACAGTTAGAGCTAAGGGAAATTAAATTTCTGACAGTAAATGGCTATAAATTCAATTTGTTGTGGGTGTCAAATGAAAGTTAAAGTTCAATTTTAAAGGTTAAGCATGAGCTTTGATCCACAGTCAAATATCAGCTTATACATATATATAGTACAAGTTTTTTGCAAAGTTAGCCGCAAGCTACTATATATATTCACGTCTAACTTATAAATTGTCCAGCCCCATAATAAATTGCAAAGCGCAACAGTTCGAAGTGGTTCGTGTACGTGATATTGCGGCTTTTTAATGCCGCCCAAAAGTATGCACTTAAATTTATTGCAAAACGAAATAGAAAGAAAAATAAATGCTCTTAGCTAACATACAGCGATTTTAACAAAAATTTTAAATATCCGTTTTCAAAATTTATTTATTTCCTAAAACAAGTGAAGAGCATTGGCTCTTTTATGTATGCCAAAAAAAGTGGGACAAAATTTTAATTGCTTTTTTACACATTTCAGCTGGCTTTAACAAATGAAGCACTACTTCGCGTAAAATGAGTAGATTTATGTCTAGCCTGCATGTCAACGAAGGACTTTTTTAACGCATTATTTTATTTTATTTTCATTTTCATTGTAATTTTTTTTCTATTATTAAAATTGTTGTAATTTAATTTATTTTAAATTACTTTAATTTATTTTTCCATTTAATTTTCAGGAATACACATTCTGCAATATCACAACAGAAAACAAGAAATAATTTAGTCCTTTCAAAGGACATATATATTTCTTAACAATTTATTTCTTTTTCTTAATATTTATTTAAAATTTTGTTTAATTAAATACGACAAAAATCAATATAGGTTCTTATTTTTTTATTTTGTTTTATGTGTCAAATGATTTACAAGATTTTTGCAGTGGGCGCAAGCTACTAAATGTATTCGCGTGTAACTAATAAATTGCCCAGCCCAAAAGTATGCAATACTTGCAAGGCGCAAGAGTTCGAAATGGTTCGTGTACGTGATAGTGCGCCTTTAAAATGCCGCCCAAAAGTATGCACTTAAATTTGTTGCAAAACGAACTAGAGACCAAAAACAGTGCTCTTCACAAAAATATAGCAACTTTAAGAAAAATTTTAAATTTTGTCCGTTTTCTAAATTTTTTTATTTTCTAAGGCAAAACTCGTAAATGTAATATGTTATAAGTTATTAAAATGAACGTGCAGAGCGTGTGCTCTTATGTGTGCCAAATTAAAGTGGTCCAAAAATTTAATTGCTTTTGTTATGCATTTCTGCTGGCTTTATCAAATGAAGCACTAATTCACTTAAAATGAGTAGATTTATGTCTAGCATGCGTGTAAAGAACACTTTTTGTATTTTCAGTTTCATTGTCATTTTATTTATATTATTAGAATTCTTAACATTTAATTTCATTTACATTAATTTAATTAATTTAACAGTAATTTAATTTGTTTTTTATTTATTAAAATATGAGATTTATATAGTTGCTTATTTTATTTAATTTCCTATCATTAAATATCTTACAAGTTGCGAGTTTTTGAATTTGTGTGTCTTTAAGGAACTGATCATAGGAAAGAACAAGTATTAAAGAATAATATATTTAATATATTACTCGTATAAACAGACATTTTATATACACAAAATAGGTGCTAAGATATCCTAAAAGGCATTCAGATTGAGAAATATGACTAATAAATAAGCACAAAACAATAAAATGCGTGCCCTTTTTTACCCACATATATTTTGTTGTATAAATTATGTTTTACGTTGATTTTTTTGTGTTTCGCTTTTGTTTTCTGCTTTTTTTAAGCAATTTATACAAATTATCCAAAATATGAGTGTCGACGCTGTCTAATAACGCGCACAGATTTATTTGCATTTTAATTACAATTTGTTGCTGCCCGAGTGCGGCAGCAAATTTATGTGCGGAGCTCTTGGCGGGCAGCTAAAAACTGCGGCACAGACGCTTGTTTTTTTTTTTGAGGTAGAGTCCTGGTCGCTTTAGTACTAAGTGGCGCTTTAGTGCCTTCAAATCTGTGGCGACTTAGCCGAGCTTGGTCCGGGCCGGCGGCATTGAACGGCGTGCAGTGCCATAAAATGTAGTGTGCCACTTGTTTGGCTTTTATAGCTTTTCATTAGTTTGGCGAATGGCTGTTGCATGCCGCAGCAGTGGCGCTATCTGTCTCTGTCTCTGTCTCTGTCCGTGTTTTTTGAATGTGTGCAACGCAGTGGCGAGGACGAGTCGTTAGCAGTTGCCACACTGTTGCTAACGGCGACTCGAGCTGACAGCCAAACACTTGCCAGTTGCTGCTCCAGCTACCTCTCCTTCCATCCGGCTGCCACTGCTGCGTATTTCATGGTCAACGGGTGCTCGAGCTGGGCATAAAATTTAAATAAATTTCCAATTTGTGTACATTTGTGCTACGTCTTCTGCAGCAGCCATTGTGTGTTGTGTGCTGTTCGCGCTTCGCTTTTATCTTTAGCATATTATGTTGTGTCCGTCCGCTCGTTGGCGCCTAAGCCGCACCTTCGCCCTTTTTTCCGCTCAGGGTGAGTGTGTGTGTGTGAATTTTACATTTCTGCGAACGTAAAAGAAAAGAAAAAAATGTTAATTTGGTGTTAAGTTTGCGTAATTTTTCACCTACCCACGCTAAGAGCTATCCTTTTCTCTTTATATATCCTTTTTTTGCCTGTTGCTGCGCTTAGCACGGACACGGCCGAATCTTGGCGCTTTGCTAACACGGATCTAATACCTGCCACGGGCATCATGGTGTTTGGTAAGTAGCTACACATTCAGTATGCGCACTTATGCAACAGCGGGGATAAACAGCGACTTGATTGCAGCTAAGCCAGACTAAGGACAAAAGAAAGGAAGAGAAACAATTTAATTGCATTTGTCGCGCTCAATGTCAGCTCTAACAAGCCTCCATTTCTCTCTCTCTTTCATTTTCTCCGTCTGCTCAGCTTTCATGTGTCATCACAACACATTTCTCGTTTATCAATCGATGCGAGAGGCGACCATGGAACGCTGGGAGAAGGTCACCCACATCTCGATTGGATTTGCCTGGACTGTGGCTGCGCTCTTCGGCATTGCGGGCTACTCAACATTCCGTGCCCTCTCCCAGGGTAAGCTAATTGTCAATTACGCTCGCATTTAATGGCATTTTCTGGTCTCTTTTTTAGAGCGCTGTTAAAGCGCCATTTTAATCTCTTGCTCTGCTTGCGATATAATCTATGCCCCTGTCTCCCTCTCCCGCCCTCTATTGCAGGCGATTTACTCGAGAACTATTGCTGGGATGATGACTTAATGAATTTCTCGCGTGTGCTCTTCTCTATATCCATATTGCTGACGTTTCCCATCGAGTGTTTCGTTTCAAGAGAGGTATGTTGGTTAATGTATGCCGTGGAGTGGTTGGCAGTGATAGAGACGGGTGTGAGGATAGGAAATAGTTTTTAATGAGGTGAGGGAGAAAGAGTTAGAAAGATAAATAAAAAGATATTTAACTCTTACCTTGGGCAAACTTAGAGTCTTTTGATACAAATTAATGCAGTTGATTCTGAAAATCTTAAAATTCGGCTTAGTTACGACAGATTTTCATAATCAGTACATCATTTACATAGCCATAGCTAGGGCATGGCCATAAGTAACTCGTATACATAAGTAACAGTATACATTTTTCCGATGGCGTGGGCAGCAGAACAGCAGTATCTTACCTTAGTTTATGGCTCATTCATTATTTTTATAAAATATCACAATAAAAATAGATTTTATTAAAGGCCAAGCAACAGATTTTGTATTCTGAAAGTAATATTAAACAAATTTTTGTTATTTTGATAAATTATTACAAATTTCCATTAAAGCAATTCTAACTCTTACCTTACTCAGGTGCATTGCTTATACTTATGAAGTGCAGTGTTAATATTTTTAAAACTTTAAGGTCTCAGTCAGAAATTTCTCTTCAATTTGAGCCTTGTGCTCTGCAATCAGATGTATGTTATGTTCATTCTATATTTTATTTATAGAATCATTTTTACTTTTGTCTTAGTTTTAAAAAGTAGAAAGACTACAACCTATTCCCTGTGGCACTTACTTACAGAGCTTACTTACTTCAGTTTGAAGCTCTGTCTTCGGCAATCAGTGGCAAAGTTTTGAGTCAGAGAATAACCCTCAAAAGCTTGTCTTCTAGAAGAGCGAGCAAATAAAGTAGTATTTACTTAAGGAAATGCCCAAGCTTATCACAATTTTCAGTATTTCAGCTCCAGCTCTCAACTTAACCTTCCAGAGTATTAGTTAGTCATGCAGCATGCAGAAAAAACATGCTCACTTGAGATACCCTTGAGATAGTTTGTGTAATGCTTAGCAGTTTGTTTGGACCATCTGCTGCCGGACCATCATTCTGGCCAAGTTGTTTTGCCACATAGATTACATTTCGGATTTCGTGCCACTCAGTTGGCGTTGCCGTTGCACATTATTGATATACTGCATAGATATGCAC